TAAAATGCTCTCATCTCCTTAGAAATATTTATAGCAGAAAAGCAAACAGTATCCAGGATGGAAAGATACAAAGATCATCAAGTTCCGGCACTGGGCATACAGAAACTCATGCAGCATTGCCTTGAACACCACAATCTCTTTCAAGGACAGGTCTGAATTAAGTCTACCTCTATTTCCAAATAGATTAGTCTGGCTAACCTGTTTGTCTCATAATGTAAAAAATTGCGTACTATGTCCCAGAAGTGGTTTTAATAACCTCTTATTGCTGCAATAAACTCCTGCTTAGTACATGTCCCTGTAGCTGCTTCTGATGCCCTGTGAAAGCCGTAGAATTGCGTAAATTTGTTTTCTGTTCCTGCATCTTTCAGTAGATTAAGGCTACGAGTCGTAATTCCTTGCTTTTTGTTCTTTGTTCCCAACAGCTTTGAGTTTTGGGTATTTCATCAATTTTCTTAGGGCTGAGCTGCTCAAATCTATTCTCAATTGCGTTGCTGTCGCTTTCTATGTTTCCATGTAGGATGCGTTAAACAATGTGAGAACAGCTGAGCCCTCCGTATGTCTGCTTCACTGCCTAGATTGACCCAAAATGACGTTTGTTACCAACACCTAGGTTACAATAGAGGTGATAAGACAGCACCCAAACTACATCCTAGTTAAAACACATCACGCTGGCTTTCTGGTTTTTAGCACACGGCAAAATCTATGCTGTCACATTTTTCCCTTAAACACAGCTAGACCTAGCAATGTCTCAGCCATCACCTCCTCCCCTCCTGCCGTAGGTCTCCCTATCCTGCATGGTCAAGAAGTCTCAGTGTAAAGACAATCACTTGCTCCTGATTTCCAAGTTTTGTGACACCTTCTCTTTTTTTTTCTCCATTTGCAGACAAGACTCCAGTGGTGGATGATGACAAAGCATCGTGTTCTGTTGTTTTTGAGATCCTTCAGAATGTTGTTCCAGTACAAACTACCGCTGAGCAAACAGGGAACAGAGCAGAAAACACTTCAGTGTACTGCGGCAAAACCAAAGTATTTATGGCTAATTCTGTGGTAAGAGTGCTATTTCCTTGGCCAACAGCTCTGGAGTGTACTTGCATAATGGGGATTCTGGCACAGGTTATCATCATGGTTTAGGCAATGCCCCTGCTAATGCCAGTGTGACCAGAATTTGGCATTTGCCTTCAAACTATTAAACTAAATCAAACATCCATCAGAATCCAACTATCAGAAGCACTTTGTTTAATGGTGTCCTTGCTGCTCCTAGACAAGGAGCTGCACTTGTGTCGAGCGTTGTCAGCATCCTCCCAGTTCCAGTAAAGATTACAGCTCTCCTTGGCTTCAGCTGACAGACGTGGCTACTCTGACGGGCCTGAGCAGCTGCTTTGTGAAAGAGATGAAGGAGACAAAAGGCGCTTTTGCAAAGCTTGCATAGTGGAGGACACAGCCATGAAAGAACCCCCTCTAATGGAGCGAGTTTTAAGCCAGCCGATACTGCGACTTTGGGAGTGTCCACTTCTTCCCCCCGCAACGCTCTTTTCCCCCCCTCAGATACTTAACATTTTCATTTTACACATCATCCAATAAGCACTGATGAAGTGCTCTCACTTCTAAAACCTAACCCAGCGGTCTTAGGACACTGAAATGTGCATGTGGTTTTCTGACGAACACCAAGAGACCGTAGACTAGGGAAGAGCTGTGAACACAACTCCGGCCCCGAGTATTAACTGCAGGCTCGTATCCCCAATGCAGCTGGAGCAACTTGAAGCTAGAAGAGCAGAGGTGTTAAATGAGAAAGCATTTTGCATTCAGTGTTGCTGGAGAAGATTTAAACAGAAGAAACTAGCGAAGGCGAGACGGTCTGCAACTGTCATCCAAGCAGGTAATTTAAGGGGGTGGCTGAACATAACATTCACAGGTACCATTTCCAGTTACACTGGATGTCTAACATGGCAGGAGTGGTTATGTTAACTGAACATGGAGAAAGCTTAAGTGCCATCTCCCTTATATTGTATGCAAGAGCTTCTGAGATTCTTTGTACTCAGACTTCTTTTAATTAAATCTTCAGCTATTCGTTCCTGGTTAGCCAAGAATCGCTTCCAAAGGATGCGCAGGGCTGCTAACATTATTAAGCGTGGCTGGAGGAAATGGAAAGTAAGTACGTTGGTATACGAAAGCACAGAAATTGGGTGACTGAGGCTTTTTAGTGTTCAAGAAAGAATCTACCTCTGTTGAGTAACTGTACAAAACCAATACTGTGAATTTTCCAGAAAACTCTTCTCAAGCTGAAGAGAAGATGGATGCCAGTCTTGCACAGCTGCTTCTACAAGGTGGCAGCGTAGAGACTGCAGAACGAGCTCCTTCCTTACCTTCATAAAATAGGAAAGCGTTCCAAGGGGTGTCCTATCCTTTAAGATGCCCTCTTTTTTAGACTCTTAGTTTTGCAGTTTGAAATTTTGTTCAAGATATTTGAGAATCTTTTTCAAGAATATTGTTCTGCATCTCTTCATCAGGCAAAAATGGCTGCGTTGGCAGCAGCAGAATTGGATGAGGGCGAAGAAAAAGCGTTCTCAGTTCCTGGAGCGACGGTGATCTCAGCCAAACCACCTTGCTCTTTGGAAACGACTTGGCCTCCGCACGCGATAATTCAGTTCTGGCCTCTTGGCCTTGTCCTGGCTGCTGCACCTGTCACTGTGACGGGACTTCGGCGAGACCTGTCCCTGCTGCCATGCCTCAAAGTACTTCAGGAGAGCGACTGCTACAAGGCGGAAAGCTGTTTCTTTGGCTGTGGCATCACCTCCATTAGAGCCCTCCCACAGGTAACAAACCTCCCGCGCTCCAGTCAGCAGCACAATTAAGCTGCCATGGGTTCAGGGACCTGAACTCTGCTGTCGAGCAGAGCAACTATGAGTCTGCTCTCAAAGCTCCAGTCTTCCTTTTTCCACTGGCTTAGATATGCAGGGATGACTCTGACATCAATAGGTCAAGCTAGACACAGGGCTGAGCTGAGACTTTGAACTAAGCGTGAAAACTCGTGTTCATCTCTGTCATAGGAACCAACTGATCAAAGCTCTGCTTCAGAAATGGAGAGCAGAGGACTCTAACATGGGCTCTGCTATTAGGTACTACGTATTTTTTCTGCTTAGGGGATTCAAGTTGCTCAACAGGTGAACACATGAAAAAGCATCCACGTGGGGAAAAACCACTGGGTGTATTAGTAACATCCCCATAATTCTGTATTAACTTCACTGTGCATTCAACTGCACAGACTAATTCGCACAGAGGATTTGCAGGGTAGAAAGCAGGGAGCAGCCCTCAAGTACTTCATCTCCTACGCACATGCAGAACGGTCTTGGATACCATTTACTACAAACAAGCCACACACACACCGGCTTCTCTCAGAAATTGCGCTCCGGTTACACATCACCTTGTGCCTGTGTGTGGGGTTTTTTGTCGATACGTTTTTGAGGTTGCATAAAATTACATGTGCAAGAATGTAACCTGTGCCTGGTCAGTTACTACAAGTAGGAAGAAGCAGTACCAAGTTCAGTACTGCCTAAATACTCAAATCTTCAGAGTTTACACTCATTTCAGTTCAAATTATGGTATTAGTACTCTTTGTAGCAATCATTTCTCTTAAATCCATTTGTACTAGGACCCCTTTAGAGGTCTTCCTCTATCCTTATTCATACTCACTAGTTGCTTATGTACTAAAGCACTACGTACTTTGAATAGCAAAATTAGCTCAAAGTCTGGCAGAAACATCAACTGACCTCTCCACTTCTTTTTCTTCTAGGGCTCTATCAAGTTTCACTGTAAGAAGTCTCCCCTGCAGTATGCAAACGTCAGCCCCCACAGGGATGCCTATTCCATCACTGGATTTAACCAGATTTTATTGGACAGAAAAAAACTCCTTCCGACATAGGCCACCTGCATATACTGTACTTTTTCCTTCAGGGAAGGACTGTCTGCAAGCTGCTGCTTTCAAATTACTCAACATTCATATCTGCTGCTACCTCAAAGCTTTCTATATTGATGCATCGTACGTATAATATACTTCAAATTTAGAACACATGGGGGGCATTCCTCCTCTCGCACACACGCACATATTAGAGGAACTATCAGTACTATGAGAACACTCAACATAATTAAAATAGATCAAGTGCTTCAAGCAATATACACTTGAACTGAACACTTCTGGCACTACCTGGGAGAAGCAAGAGGCTGGCAATGAGAGCAAATAAGGCAAACACTTCTGATGCATGCTGGATTCTCGTATGGAGGCACAACTCCAACTATCCTGACTGACCGCGAGCGTTCAGTAACATCACAGCACTTCTGACTCGGACTGAGGAAGCGAGCAGCAGTCAACTGTAACACTATCGGCAGATGTCTCAGGGAAAAGCGAGACTGGACTCTTGCTTTTTATCTATAGGACCAAAACATACGTACTCTCACAATGCCACGCATTTCTAGCACTACCTAGTCAACAGCATTACCTCTGCCAAGGGGCCACGGCTCTCCTCAGAAGCGCTCTAAAACATCTCTTTGTTGCTCAGGCGGGTCTTGAAAATGTTCAGCTCTTCTGTGTATGCCACTTTTAAATAAACTGTTAAATACCTTGTAAAGATGCCTGACCATCCGCAACAACATTTAGTCAACAAAAGCGTTTCAGATTAGTTTGTGGGTTAAAATAAATGCAAATATATTTAATGTTATTGGGAAGCAACGTTTCCCATGGTTGACAGCATTTCTGTACCAAAAGAAAGCAAGTCCACAGAACATCAAGTTTAATTCCTAGTACCTAGAAATCATTCCAACACGACTATGTCGCTGCTTATCAACTCTAAATTGAAAATTAGAGCACTGACATCCATGAGCAAAGCGTGACCAAACCGTGAGGGAACACACAAAATGGCGCACCGCAGTAGCACGGGGTGCTGTCAAATCTCTTCTCTCAGAGGGAAAAAAAATCTCAAGGAAAAAAAAAACGTTCCCAAAGTAGCTCACTCGGGAAGAATGTTCTCCTTCTCTGGAGGTTCAACAATTCTCAAACAGCAGTCTGCAAACTCGACAAATAACGGCTCCTGCATGTACTTTTTCATAAGGGAGCTTTTATCTTCTGCTTGGTCGACTGTTAGCAGTAGCTGCCTGAGATGTGGATTCAGAAGCAAGCCTCTCAGTTCTTCCGATTCCCCTTTAAAAGAAAACAAAAAAGATAAACAGTACTAACCTCAAACAGTTACAAATGAGTTGTGACCACCCTTATTTTGCAAATAAACTTCCAGAGAGACGTGGTAAACAGCCAGGTATCTGACATTTAAGTCTTTAAGGCCTTGCAATGAAGCGCACGACTGCACTAAAGTGCAGCGCTCCACCAAGGATTCAGGGGAACTGTGAGTATCTCTGCTTGCGCTGGTGAAGGCCCACCGCCGCCTGCACACCCGCTTGACTTCTGACCCCTCGAGATTACCTAAAAGCTTGAGCTTCTGCAGCGGGACGCGGTCCCGCTCGTCATCTTCCGTCAGGATGTCCTCCACCGACCAGGGGCTGGCTGCGGGCGAGGAGAGCGGGGCTGCAGGGGGCCGGGG